AGCCCCAGCCTACTCAGCCTCTCTCTATAGCTCAAACCCTCCAACCCCAGCAACATCCTTGTGAAACTTTTCTGTACCCTTCAAGTTTCAGGGAGACCAGAACTGAACGGAGTATTCCAAAAGTGGCCTAACCAATGTCCTGTAGAGCTGTAACATGACCCTCCCAACTCCTGTACTCAATGCACTGACCAATAAAGGCACGTGTACCAAACACCACCTTCACCGCCCTGTCTACCTGCAACTCCACTTTCAAGGAACTACGTACCTGCGCCTCAAGGTCTCTTTGTTCAGCAACACTCCCCAGGACCTTACCATTAAGTGTATAAGTCCTGCCCTGGTTTGCCTTTCCAAAATGCAGCCCCTCACATTTATCTCAATTAAACTCCATCTGCCGCCCCTCGGCCCGTTGGCCCATCTGATCGAGGTCCTGTTGTACTCTGAGATAACCTTCCTCGCTGTCCACTACAACCTCCAATTTTGGTGTCATCTGCAAACTTCTATGTTCACATCCAAATCATTGATAGAAGTGACAACGATGTGGAGGTGCCAGTGTTGGACTGGGGTCACACGACACCAGGTTATAGTCCAGCAGGTTTATTTGAAATCCCCTGATGAAGGTGCTATGCTCCAAAAGCTTGAGTGATTTCAAATAAGCCCGGTAACTGACAAGGTCATTGAGTTTAAATTCCACCAGCGGCTCTGGTAGGATTTGAACCTCTGTTAAAATGAGCCTTTGAATGACTAGTCCAGGACCCTTCCCTCTACACTACCGTCTCTCCTATTCCGTCTGAAGCCTGGGCACCTTCACAGACTGGTTCAGCAAAACGCAGTGAAGAAAGTTGCTCGCTTGTGGTACTGCGCGCAGCTCAGGGAGCACTATAACGCTAACTTGCAAACACTGTGCAAAAGATCGATCGCGAGTTCGGCAGAAGTTAACATCACCCGTTTTCGTCTTCATTTGTAGTCCGACTCCGTCTTACCCTCCCACGTACCCGGAACCCGCTATAGGGTAAGGACTGTTTTGGTTCTGTCATTTCGGCTTGTCTATATCGTGTCGCCTTCAAAAAGAGCCTGCTACCTTTCATCAAAAAAAAACATAATGTTAACTCTTGCCGGTGTTTCAAATACAGTCCTGGGCAAATGGCCAACTGTTCTGGTGGTGAATTGGCCATCGTTCACGATTGGGTCTGATATATTGATTGTAAATAGTCTGTCCGTGCTGGGTTATCGGTGATATTAACGTCAATATCATTTCACAAAATAAAAGATGGCCAGTAACTTTTACAGTAGATTGTAATGTCGAGACTGTCATCAGGGCTGTATTCCTGTATTGTAAGTGATGATGTCTGATAGATAGAGGGATGTGGTTGTCGTGCCAGTGAATTTGGGGAACGGGCCACCACTTCTGATTGTCCCATTGTCGCTGATATCCTCCTGTACTTCCAGAAGACACACGCCTTATATGTCCCAGCCCGAGTACAGAATCTACGAGCTCAACAAACGCCTTCAAAATTGGACAGAGGTGAGCGTTTCCGCACTGATTTTGTCAGCAGGGTTTAAATCCTGCGCAATTTCCGCATTGCTGACCTGTCGCCGGTTTCAAGTTGGGATGTTGCTTTCTGCAGACTCGGTGTAAACTAATCTATCTTGGCGCCCTCCTCCTAAGACCTGGCGGCACGGTGGCTCAGTGGTTAGCACCGCTGCCTCACGGCGCCAGGGACCCGGGTTCGATTCCATTTCGGAGGCGACTGTCTGCGTGGAGTTTGCACATTCTCCCCGTGTCTATGTGGGTTTCCTCCGGGTGCTCCGGTTTCCTCCCACAGTCGAAAGATGTGCAGGTTAGGGTGGATTGCCCATGCTAAATTGCCCCACACTGTCCAGGGATGTGCAGGTTAGGTGAGTTATCCATGAGAAATACAAGATTGCAGGGATATATATCTGGGTCTGGGTGGGATGCTCTTTGTTGGGGGAGGGGTCAGTGCGGACTCGATGGGCTGAAAGGCCTGCTTCCACACTGTAGGGATTCTAAGATGAGGAAGGCCGACTGCTCGTAGTTTGCAGATGAGTCATGAGGCTTGAAATATATTCTGTTCCGTTCACAGTTCACCATTGCTTCCGTCTGAAGGTGTGCGTGTGAGACTTGGAGACAGATGCAGCGCAGTAAAAGGCCACTTGGCCCATCGGCTCCATTCCAGGCCGGGCCTCTGTGTAGCAATCCAGTCAGTCCTGCTCTGTGCCTGCAGGCTCGTGAACGCCTCTCCGATTTCCTTTGAAAAACATTTATCGCCTCTGCTTCCTCGAAAGGTAGCGAGTTCCGGCTCACTCCCACTTGCTGTGGGGACAAATAGAGTCCCAATCTGTGTCCCCGAATCCCTGTGTAATCAGTTAAAGATTCCCCGTCACACCTTATCCAAACCTGTCACAATCTCGGACACCCCTGTCAAATCTCCGCTTCCCCTCCTTCGGTCCAAGGACAACAGCTTTTCCACTGTAGCCTTGTCAGTAAAATCCTCCTGGTCAGTCTCCTCTGCAGCCTCTCCAGTACTGCCTCGCGATGCGGTGGCCGGACCTCTGTTTCGAACCAGGGATGTCGTCTGAAGCAGAGACGTGCTCCGAACCCGCCTGGGATTATCCGAGACCCTCCCCACCTCTCGACGCTCTGTCGTACCACATTCCCCCGGACGAAGGTTGACTTAATTTGTAACCCCGGGGCTCCTCCGCCCTGTGAGTTGTCCGCGGTTTTATCCTCTCGAACAGCTACCCTCCCCGCTGCTGCGACTCAACTGCGGCTGTGATTTCTCCCGTTTGTAGGAGTGCGACAACCTTTGGTGGGATGCTTTTGCCACTGAGTTCTTCGAGGACGACGCAGTCCTGACTGTGACCTGCTGCCTGGAAGATGGACCAAAGCGATACAGTGAGTCGCTGCTGTTTCTCCCCACTCTCAGTTTTCTTCCCATCGCAGCACAGGCAGACAAGCCTGTTTCGCAACCCCTGTCGGCGCCAGGAGAGGTGCCGCTGTTGTTTGAAGTTACGTGTAACGTTTTGCGGGGGCGTCGGCGAGCGTCGCTGGGTGCCGCAGAGTCCTGCACCGCTCGTGTCCTGCGTTCCCAGGTTATTCACCGGCACCACAGCCGTAATGTTTCCGCTCGCGGAGGGGAGGTTTGAGACCCCGTTTCCCCCTACACCCCGCTTAAATATTTAACCATTCCCACGCACCGGAGGCCGCTTGCGAATCTGCGGCGGCGCTGACAAGACCTGGACTTTGTTACCCAGGCCCTAACTACCCGTGAGCTGAGGGCCGCAGCGAGTCGGGCACATAGGTGTGGGACTGGAGTCACGTGTAAGCCAGGCCGGGTAAGATCTCCTCTCCCCGATAAGACATCGGCCAACTGTCGGTGGGTTTTTTTTTCCCTCCCGGGAAAATCGACGGGACTGACTTCTCTTCTCTGCTCCGAAATTCCTGCCCACTCCCCGTGGTTGTTTTTTGAGGGTGGATGGTGGAGAGAAGCCGCAGTCCCCAGAATGATAGCCTGGCCCCTCTGGATGTGTAACGGCACAGTTGCGTTTAGTCCGTCCAGGCTGGTTCAAGTGGTCGGTTTAATGGGTACCATTGGTGCCCAGTGTGGGCGCAATGCGCACGCAAGAGTAAAGACGAGATAGTCGCGGTGTGGGTGGGCGTGGTACAGGAGGAGTGCCCTGAGGCAGGAGGAATTCCACGCGGCAGAACGGCGCGTAGAGTTACTCACTTTCTCTTTCATTCAGTCACGGGATGCGGGCATTGCTGGCTGTGCCAGCACTTATTGCCTGTCCCCTAGTTGCCCCCACCCGGTGCTGGTGGCGAGCTGCCTTCTTGGACCGCCCATTTTTTTGGACCGCCCATTTTTTTTTCCCAGAAGCAAAAGGAGGTTTCACCTTCAACGACGAAAGCCCTGCACCGACAGATGGGCCGTGCCGGCTCGAGAGCCTAAATAATCTGGGATGTGCCGACCTGAGCCAGAGCTTTGGCATTCACCATATTCCCTTTTTTTTTAATTTATTCGCACCCGCCCTCCCTCCGAACACGCAGCGATCGGACGGACCCTAATCCCTCGCTATTTCCGTAGCGTCTTCGACGGCGGAGCGACAGATCTCTATTTCAACCTCAAACACTCGAAGGAGACGTTCCACAGCAACTTGGTGATAGTGGACTGTGACAAGTGTAGCATGGTCACGCTGCACAGCAAGCCCATCTTCACAAAGGTGAGGTAACAGCACGGTGCTGCCAATGGACTATAAGAATCAGAGAACGCCACGGGGGTGGGATGCTCAGCTGGCCCGATGGTAAAGGGAGGTCTGGGACAGGATAGAGGCTGGCCGCGAATTGAGTCAGCTGGGGTGGGGGAGGCCAGTCGTCTTCCTGTCCTCTCTCCGTCTCGGGTCGCTGGCCTTGGCGAGAAGCGCCGAGAATTCTCCGTGTTAAGAGAGTGGCCTCGGGTCAGTTCCCAGGACTGCGGAGGTCTGCTTCGAGAGTCACGGGCGTGAGAATGCAAGAAAAGAGGAGTTAGGGTAGGCCATTTGGCCCATCGAGTCTGCTTCACCATTCTGGATGAGATCTCCACTCTTCCCTCCTGCCTCCCCATTTCCTTTGATTCCCTGAGAGTCCCAGCCTTGATTATATTCAACGCTAGAACATCCATCACCCTGTTTGTGCAGGGGACAGAATTCCAAAGGTACTCCACGCTCAGCCCTTGTCTTGAGATCCACATGCTCCCCAGTCAGGGGGTAAACAGCCTCTTACCCCGTCAGAATTTCAGAATCCTGTGTGATTCATTGAGAGCACCTTGTGTTTGCTTCAGTTCCGGAGACTCTCTACTCACGGGGACATCCCCTATTGTAGGCAGAAGCTTGGGGGACGAAGTATAATGTGCAAAAATGTGCACATGTTCATTCAGAGTGGAGGAGCTGACTAAGATTGACTATGGTTGGTGAGGTGTGTTCGGGCCAGAGGGAGAGAGAATGATTCTGGCTCTTGCTTGTTTGCTGTCTCAGGTGTGCACAGAGGGCCGCCTGTACCTGGAATTCACCTTCGATGACTTAATGCGGATCAAAAGCTGGCATTTCAACATCAAGCAGAGCCGCGAGCTGCTCTCTCGCGGCATCCTGGCGACGCATGTGAGTACCACGTCTCCCCACACCCCACACCCCACACCCCATACCCCATACACACACCGAGCACTCCCCCTGCTGGTGCTGTTCCAACCGTTGCAGAGACAGTTTCTCCTTCAACGGCTTCCGCGCAGCAAGGGGAGCAACTCCACAGGCCGTATTACAGATTGTACCGAGCTCTCTGTCCCCTAGCTGGCACAGTGGCTCACTGTTTCGCACTGCTGCCTCACGGCACCAGGGGACCCGGGTTCAGTTCAACCCCCAGGGCGACCGTCTGTGGTGGGGTTTGCGCGTTCTCCCCTTGTCTGCATGAGTTTGCTTTGGGGGCTCTGGTTTCCTCCCACAGTTCAAAGGTGTGCAGGTTAGGGTGGATTGGTCATGGGAAATTGCCCCGTAGTGCCCAGGGATGTGTAGGTGTGGCTGGATTGGTCATGAGAAATTGCCCTGTAGTGCCCAGGGATGTGCAGGTTAGGGTGGATTGGCCGTGCTGTATTACCCATAGTGCCCAGGGATGTGTGGGTTAGGGTGGATTGCCCATGCTAAATTACCCATAGTGCCCAGGGATGTGCAGGTTAGGGTGGATTGGCTGTGCTATATTGCCCATAGTGCCCAGGGATGTGCAGGTTAGGGTGGGTTGGCCGTGCTAAATTACGCATAGTGCCCAGGGATGTGCAGGTTAGGGTGGATTGGC